GGTTTCCACATTCAGTGGAGGCCAACACCAATATATTTTAATGGAAGAGCAGTTCAGTTCCATCCTCTACATTGTGCACATGGCTACCCACCCTTATGAACTGTAACCGCTATATGTGTTCACAAGATCTGCTCCACTTTGGGAGACTAGCAGTCTAACTTGGTAAAAAGCCCTTCCCATCACTAAATACTGCAACCATCAAATCCTGAGAGTGAGCAAAACCCATTCAAAGGAAATATGGGAGAGGGTAAGGGATTCAACTCTACACCACCAACATCCTTTTCCTAGCTGCTGTGTTCTTTCTGCAGTAAATGAAATCTGATTGCAATCTAGTATTCCTTCCGAAAACTCCATCCTGTCATGTGACTTTGTGCCCAGCACTTGCATTTTCTTGGGAAATAAAGGCTTCTTATTACCTACCTGCTGAGATCTTTGTAGTGGATGAATGCCCCTGGTCATTATTCGTTAACCTTCTCCCTTCAGACTATACAATGAGACTAATAGCCTGCCAGTATTCCTTCTCAGAAATGAAAGAGACCAGCTACAGAGCATCTCAGGACCCTCTTAATGTGCCTAAAGAATTCACATAACTTTAAAGAAGCCAAAAAAAAAAATCTGTTATTGAGGAAACGGGGCATTAAAAATTGCTCTTGAAATATATGGTTCTGCTTGCCAAGTTACCCTTTGCGACATGTCTTTCAACATCTCTGAAAACAGAAATTTGAAAATGAATCGGTTTGCTCAAGCTCCATTAAAACTGCATGACTGCACTGCTGCAACACAGATGCCATTATCTTTATTACTAGCAAAGCAAGGCTAGCATTCTTGTTCCTGGTTTCCTTTGGATGGTGGCAGGTGAAAGAAATTTGTAGCAGGGAAAGGAAAATGCAGGCTGTAAGTTGCTTGAACTCATTCCTTGCAGCACTGGATTGAGAAGTGATTTATTAGAGCTATTGCAGCCTATAGACCATACATCACCTTCCTGGTTGGCTTTGTTGGCACCTTGTCACATTCTTGTGGGCTTGAGGAATTCATTGTTCTTGTTTGAACTGATAAGAACAAAAAAAGGATTTTCTGCCTGAGACCTTGGGAAAAGCAGAGGGGGTGGAATGTTGACACGAACAGCAGGACTGCACTTTCCCAAGCCTTTCAGTCAGCATTCTTTAGTAAGCAGAGGACCACCGACCCTTAGGTGTTCCCAGCAAAGCTTGGCTTTGATTGCTACAGTGCCTATGTCTCTCCTGCGTGTGTTGGTCCAGGGACAGGCAAATATGGGCAGGTAGATGCAGAGCAATAATATCCAAATAGTCCAAGTCATCTTTGGTGCAAAGGTCTCGGAAGACTTTATCGGTGGGCGAATGCGAGGAGCAGGTTAGCAGTATCACACACAACTTTAGTGAAGTTAATTTCTTATTCAAAGAAACAAGGCAGCTCAGGAGACCAGTCCTAGTGAGCACAGAAACTCTTCTCGGTAGAACTTGCTCCTCCTCCAACTGCTATTCTAGACTGCATCAACAGAAGTATAGTGTTCTGATCAAGGGAAGTAATAGTACCACTCTATTCTGGTCAGACCACACCTGGAGTACTGTGTCCAGTTCTGGGTACCACAGTTTAAGGATATTGACAAGCTGGAACGTGCTGAGGAAGATGACCAAGATGATCAAGTGTCTGGAAACCAAGCCTCCCATGATTAATGGAGTTGGGTATGTTTAGCCTGGAGAAGAGAAGAGGAGATGTAGTAGCAGTCTTCACACATCTAAAGAACTGTCAGATGGAGGATGGAGCAAGCTTGTTTTCTTCTGCTCCAGAGGCTATGACCCAAATCAGTGGATTCAAGTTACAAGAAAGGCAATTCCAACTAAACATCAGGAAGAACGTTCTGATGGGAGGAGCTGTTCAACAGTGGAACAGACTTCCACGAGAGATGGTGGACTCTCCTTTTTTGAAGAGTTTGGATTTGATATCCCGCCTTTCACTCCCTTTAAGGAGTCTCAAAGCGGCTAACATTCTCCTTTCCCTTCCTCCCCCACAACAAACACTCTGTGAGGTGAGTGGGGCTGAGAGACTTCAGAGAAGTGTGACTGGCCCAAGGTCACCCAGCAGCTGCATGCGGAGGAGCGGAGACGCGAACCCGGTTCCCCAGATTACAAGACTACCGCTCTTAACCACTACACCACACTGGCTCACCACACTGGTTTTTAAGCAAAGGTTGGATGGCCAACCGTCATGGATGCTTTCAGCTGAGATTCATGAATTCTTTAGTTGGACTAGATTACCCTCAGGGTTCTTTCCAACTCTACAATTCTGTGGGTCTTGGAATATTTGTTCTGTTTCCAGATTACTGTGCAATCTTACACAAATCACTATCTCTGCCTCTCATTTTTCATCTCGTGTATAACTCTTTTAGGATGCATTTTATGTTTGTAGCAAAAAGGTAGGAAACAATCCATGTCCTCAATGGTTATACACACTAGCTTTGCTTTTAGTATTCTTTCCCTGCTTCCTTGGGAAAGTGTTTATCTCTGCTCTCAGATTAGTTCTCATGGCTTGAAGTAGTCAACATTTCAGATAAGGCCTGTAGACTAGCTGTTTTATGTTTAGCCCGTAGCAAAGGCAGCAGCAGTTAAACAGTCAACACTTGTCATTGTGACTTATCAGGGCTTAAAGAGGGCTTTGCGTTTTTGACTTCATTAAAGGTAAGAAAGATACCAGAAAGGAAGCAACAGGAATAATTGCAAGGGTCAAAAGGTCACAGTAAAGGATGAGGTCTGCCTTTATGCGTGTGTGCCTTACATCCTAGAGCTCTGCAGATGTACCCATCAAAACACTTGGTCAGTTTAACATAAACATCATAAATGCCATTGTTCTCAGAGGTTTGAAATTTGCCGGTTCTGTTATAATACCATATTTTTTGCCCTATAGGACGCACTTTTTCCCCTCCAAAAATGAAGGGGAAATGTGTGTGCATCCTATGGGGCGAATGCAGGCTTTCGCTGAAGCCTGGAGAGCGAGAGGGGTCGGTGCGCACTGACCCCTCTTGCTCTCCAGGCTTCAGGAAGCTATCCGCAAGCCTTGCAAGCCCACAAGCTCGGGGGACAGCGGGGAGGTGCAGCGCCGCCACCCCGCTATTCCCTGACCTGGTCTGGAGGCTGGCGGGGGGGAAGCAAGCTTGCTTCTCCCCCCCCCGCCAGCCCCACAAGCTCGGGGGATAGCGGGGAGGCGGTACGCCGCCACCCTGCTATTCCCGGACCTGGTCTGGAGGCTGGCGGGGGGCAGAAGCAAGCTTGCTTCTCCCCATTGCCAGCCCCACAAGCTCGAGGGACAGCGGGGCAAGCCGCTGCCCCACGGAGGCTAGAGAGGCTGTCCCTGAAGGCAGAAGAGGGAGATGAAGCGCTCCGTCTCCCTCTTCTAGCTTGGGGATGGCTGCGCAAACCTGGGGGGGAAATAAAAATTTTTTCCTTGATTTCCCCCCCCAAAAAACTAGGTGCGTGCTATGGGCCGGTGCGTCCTATAGGGCGAAAAATACGGTAAATCTGATGAGCCAGGAAAAAGTTAGTGCCGTTTCAGCCTACTGTATCTGTATCATGATAGATAGATAGATAGATAGATAGCCAAGGCTACCTTTGGCAACTTTGTATTATTTGGGCTAACTGCTGCTCCCTTGCCTGCTGCAAACCCTCATGTAAATCAGAACCCCAATTTCGCCCACAACCATGCATTAAAATAGTGCGATGGGGATTCCACCCGTTTAGCACTCTGATTGCGATTACGGTCAAGTACAGTTCAAGTATGCTCAGCAGTAACTAATCTGCACGAAGTGATCTTAAGCATGCAGCCATATTAAACATAAATATATGAGAGCGAGCTTATCATACAACCATGTTTGTTTCCACAGTCTCATGCCATCTTAATGAGGAGTATTTTTAAAAACCCTTTCCGTGGCCCTAAACAGATACTGCAGCTTTGCCTGCCAGGGAAGCATGGGATGCTTACGTACATATGTAGCATGCTATCGTCACCTGTTAGTTGCTGATACCACAGCTCTCACTCAGGCAAGCACACTCTTTTGCCTGAAGCTAGCAAAGAAGGGCACGTCCAGCCAGTGCTAGTTTGGAGAACCTGAAGAACTCACGTCTCTACTGTCTACATGTAGTGGTGGCCTTGGCCTGTGCTTGTCCACCAACTGCCCACAGACCTGAGGTGGGTACATGAAGAATCGGCACGGGCTCAACAATGTTGATGGCTAGCAATCCAATATTGGCACAAGAGGATTTCAAGGAAAGGGTGCATTCCTTTTTCCAGGGATATTCCCTGCTAGAGTCATCACCTGTTGTGTGCGTGTGTGTTCATTAAGATTCCTGTTCCTTTGTGAGAAGTGAAAGCAGGCACGTAAGAAGCAAAAATTCAATAGCTGAAGCTTTCCCAGCAAGAAGATCCAGTGAGGGGGAAAATTAACTGAGGAGCGGGGAAACGGTGAAAGATATTCGAGTGGCCCAGATCTTGTTTTCATAAAAACAGGAAGTGGCACCATATTGAATAGGGGGCGGGGAAGTGGGCAGGAGGCATAGAACAAAGAAAGGTGTAACCTGTTGAAGCCCTGTACTAAAGGGAAAGCCTCCTGGGAATTCGGGACTCTGCGTGAAAAGCCTGGATGGCTTAAGGGTTTTTGTGGCAATCCCAGTATTTTTAGGGTAGTTGGAGGTATGGCTCTATGCCCTCCAGAGTGCTACTTTTTTCTGGCAGGAATCTGTCTTTGAACTGTGATAGTTCTTCTTGCTTGCCTGAGTGTGTGTGTGTGTAGAAATGTCTGACATTTGCATGGCTGGTGTAGAGCCTACTGTACATAGGTAAGAATCACATCTTTTGCCTCTGGCTCCTCCCATCAATGGAAGGCTGCCCATAAGAGAATGTATGGTTTCCTACTCTTGAGGTGGTGGCATTCCACTAATTTTTGCTCAGAGTATAATCAAAGCATCATAGAATTTGTATAGTTGTATAGTTGGAAGTCCCAACATGGGACTTAAACCCATGAGCCTGAGATTAAGAGTCTCACGCTTTACTGACGGAGCTAGCTGGTCAAGCAGACCCACTGAAATCAGTGAACGTGGCTAAGTTAGGTCTATAAATGTCAGTGGGGTCTGCTGTGAGTAAAATGTAGTTGAATACCACCCTTGGTGTTTGTGAAGGGCCTTCTCAGCAGTGGCACCCTCCCTGTAGAACACCCTCCCTTCAGATGTCAAGGAGATAAAGAACTACACAACTTTTAGAAGACATCTGAAGGCAGCCCTGTTTCTGGAAGTTTTTAATGCTTGATATTTTACTATATCTTTATATGTGCTGTAAGCCGCCCAGAGTGGCTGGGGAAACCTAGCCAGGTGGTGGTAATAATAATAATAATAATAATAATAATAATAATAATAGTAGTAGTAGTAGTAGTAGTAGTAGTAGTAATAAATGATGAACAGCCCAATCTTGTGTGGAACAAGGTATAAAACCAAAAAGTGGTGGTACTAGTATCTAAACTAATGCAGAATGCAAGGATCTAGTGTGATCTTTTATATGTTTGGGCAAACAGCCAAATCTTAAGCAAATTAACAGAGAACTTAGCTCCACTGCGCTCAGTGCACATTACTTCCCAGCAGTGCTTTTTTTCTTTAAAAGTTTAGGGGTGCTCTCATTTTGACTCAAGAAAATCACCATTTTATAGTTCAAATTAGGGGGTAAATACAGTAAATGGACAAAAGTACAAAGATTCACAAAATGTTTAGGGGTATGCATACCCCTGCGTCCCCCCAGAAAAAAACACTGCTTCCTAGTAAGCATGCTCAGGTTGCAGTTGAAAAGCTTCCATGTCATCTTTCACATTTGCAGCATTTTCATTCATTCATTCATTCATTCATTATTCCAAAGGGGGTATCCTCTCCTGCAAATGTTTTTTGGGAATTAGCTCCTCTGACATTCTGTAAACTCTGTAAACTACACAATTGGCAAGACTGGATGCTTTTTCCTCTCTCTCCCCCCCCCCCCCCCGGCTTTCCTTGTATGGAAACTTGCTTTGCTTTCCAGTACTAAACTTAACTGACAGCGTATCACTGCACTCTGCTGGAGAAGTCCTGAGCCAAATCAGACCTCTGTGGGTCTCCCAGCTGGCTGTCACAAGGGCAGGTGTGATGGCTGCACTGATAACCTCTGTGCTCTCAGGAATAAGCTGAGATGAAGGCTTAATGATACTTGTCAGAAGCACAGTATAACTTAGGGCCTTGGATTGTGCAGGCTGGAGACAGATCCTTCAGGAGAAGGAATGAGAAAGATAAACAGAGATATCCTTGCAAAACCCAAATATCCACAAACACCTTCTTAGCACTACTTTGTGTTAGTCATGAATGGTGATCGCAAACATTAGCAGCTGGTTGCAATCATCCTTCCGAGCTATGTGCAATATTTTATATTCAGGTGGTTTTTTTCTTAGTTTTTAAGTGGCCATAGGCAATAAAATTGTTTTGTGTTGTCACACTAAAAAACAACAACACCCAGATGTTTCTGGCAAGTGGGAAAGTTGGCTTGCTTTGTACGAAGGAGCGATAATTTATTGGGTTTTATTTTGGTCTTCTGAAACTCGCTTTCATTTCTACAAACCAAGAGGCTTGTCGTGATTGTGAAATAAAGTACTGAATATTCACAGGCTAAAATGAATACTCAAAGGCAACCCCTCTCCCTCAAAAATAAACCCCCAATCCTCCTGCAGGTGAGAAAATTAATCTCTCCAGACATTCCTGCATGTGTGTTGTGTGTGTGTGTGTGTGTGTGTGTGTGTGTTTATCTACTTACCTACATCTGGTGTCATGGGTACTCCAAAGCAAGCTGATCAATATAAATCAATTAAAAAGGCAACTTTACAGCAGCATGAGAGAGCTGGTGTGTTTTTCAGCATTTAGCGTGATCTAGTGCTACACTCTCAAAAGAAAAACAAAAACCATTTGGGAAGGAATGTTTGTTTTACAGTGGTTGACCAAAAGTATTCAAGTGGTTATAAAAAATGGAGACAGCTAACGATTGGAGGTGCCTCTTACTCACTCTGAAACTCATTCACAAACCTTTGACACTGACTTAAGGTCAGTACCGATAAGGAGAAAGGCATTTCCCAGGGAGAAGCACCAGAAAGTCTGTATTACTTGAGTAGAAAAAAGCAAACAAAAGAAAAAGCAAACAAAAGCAGAACAGCACTCCTTATTGACCTTAAACATAACCAAAAGGGGACACACACACACACACACACACACACACACACACACTATACCAGGATTTTTTAAAAAAGGTTTACAAGCTCTAGTGAGGAACTTAATACCACATCTATTAATATTTCAGGTCCTGTGCTTCAGATATAAATGCTTCTGCAACAGCCTTACAATTGAGGCATCAGCTCAACAAGAAGGGTGTAGGATTTTGCTTTCAGAAGAGTTTGTCCTTTAATAACCTTTAAAGGAACTCCCTTAATTTGTCTGGAGATGTATGTGGTTTCTCTCCCTTCTGGTACATCCTGCAATTGTACAGCTCTAGGAGGATTGTGCCTTTGCCTTTGGTAGACTTACAGAGCAATCTAAGCCCCTGGTGGGCAGAACCAGAGTTTGATAGGGGGAGTTATCCACTGTCTTATCCGGAGGCCTGTCACTTGTGCTAATCATGGCAGCAGTTTGTTGTTGTTGTTTTTTTGGGGGGGAGAATATATTCTGGTTTCTTGCTTCTAGGCTGGAGCAGCAGAGAGGAGCAGATTGGGCTCATTTCCCATTACTGTATTACATTTATTATTATTCATCGCCTATACAAGAGTCTCAAGGCAATAAAAATAGCAAAAAAACCCAGTTAAAAACACGGGAACTCGCCCCGTCATACGGATTCAAAGCGCCGACCTTCCAATTGGCAAGTCCAAGAGGTTCAGTGGTTTAGACGACAGCGCCAGAGATAGAAACAAAATTAACACCCAATTCAAAACCTAGCAAGGATGGTTATTATCATCATTATTATTTGTTGCCTTTATATTCCTTTTTCTCCAAGGAGTTCAAGGTGGTGTATATGGTTCTCCCCCTTCTAATTTAATCCCCCACAACAACCCTGTGAGGTAGTTCAGTTTGAGAGGCAGTGGCCAGCCCAAGGTCACCCAGTGAGCTTTATGGTTGAGTAGAGATTTGAACCTGGATATCTCAGGTTCTGGTTTGACACTCTCAGCCACTACACCACACTGGCTCTCTTCAATGGCTCCTTGGCCAGCCTATCTCTGCCTCCTTCACGTCCCTCCCACCCTTTTTAGGGTGGGTGCCAGCTACTTCCAGGGGGCTGGGGAATAACTACTCACACTTCAGGAGGGTGAAGTTGGGGATTCTGTGTCAGAGTGGGATTTAGATCTGTGTGTCCAGCTGGCTCTAACTTTACATATGCTACTCAGACCGAAAGCGCTTTTCAGTTAATAGAGGACCAACATCTTCCTCTTTACTACCTGATTTCTACTCTCTGCTTAAAAGCCACCATCTGATTTCAAAGAGACTTCTCCAAATGCAACTTGGAATTCACGGATTAGTAATGCATTGGCCAGCCAAAAAGCACTGGTTAAAATACATATTTAAAGTTATTGTGAAACAGTCTTTCCATTACAAGTAAAAAACATTTTCTAAACCCGCCCCCATCCTCTAGTCTAGTTGATCCTCATTTGGTGGAAAGACTGGGTTGGAGTCCGGATGCATTCCTGACTGGCAGTGTCCTATGGAAATAAAACAATGCACCAAAGAACCAACTTGTATTGAAAACTAGTTCATTTTATCCTCTTCCCCCATCTCTGGCTCCACATACTTTTTTAAAAAATTGGATTTTGAATAAAATGTGGAATTATTTTTTTTATAATCTTTTTAAAATTCAGTTTTACACTACACATTTAAATTCAAACATTAGACATAATCATCAACATTTAGGATTCCCTGAATCCTTAGACTTCCCTCCCCTCTTCCATGGTTTCCATTTTCAATCTTTTTCAACTGCATATATTTTCTCTATTTTTTAAAAATAATCCAATTTTACCTTAGTTTTTAGTACATTATAAGTGTTGCTCAAATCCTGCCAAAGTTTTTAGTTGTTTACAGTGTTCTCTTAGGTAAATTGTAAATTTTCCCCATTCCTTATTGAAGTTTCTCTCTTCCTGGTTTCTGATTATCCCAGTCATTTTCGTAATTTTGGTGTACTCCATTATCTCCATCAGCCATCAGTCTCTGGTTAGGACTTTATCTTCTTTCCATCTCTGGGCCAGTAGTATCCGCCCTGCTGTCGTCGCATACATAAATAATCGTTTCTGCTCCTTTTTTAAACATTATTTTAAACATTATTTTCCAACACATTATCTATCATTTCCCAGAATGCTTTTGTTATCTTGCACATCCACCACATGTGGTAGAACATGCCTTCCTTCTCCTTACACTTCCAGTATACATTTGAAGCAGTTCTATACATCTTTGCTAATTTTGTAGGCGTTAAATACCAACAATACATCGTTTTCATATAGTTCTCCTTCAACGCACAGCACGCTGTAAATTCCTCCCTCCATAACTTTCCCCAAAATGAAAATTGGATATTGTGCCCAATATCTTTTGCCCATTGTATCATTACCAATTTAACTTCTTCATCTTTAGCATGCCATTCTAAAAAGGTAAAGGTAAAGAGACCCCTGACCATTAGGTCCAGTCGTGACCGACTCTGGGGTTGCGGCACTCATCTCGCTTTATTGGCCGAGGGAGCTGGTGTTTGTCCGCAGACAGCTTCCGGGTCATGTGGCCAGCATGACTAAGCCGCTTCTGGCGAACCAGAGCAGCGCACGGAAACGCCATTTACCTTCCCGCTGGAGCGGTACCTATTTATCTACTTGCACTTTGACATGCTTTCAAACTGCTAGGTTGGCAGGAGCAGGGACCGAGCAATGGGAGATCACCCCGTCGCGGGGATTCGAACCTTCTGATCGGCAAGTCCTAGGCTCTGTGGTTTAACCCACAGCGCCACCCGCGTCCCTTAGCATGCCATTCTAGCAACAGCTTAATGCATT